ACATACACTGATCCAAATCCTGACCTTGTTTTGGTGAAATGATTGAGGCGCTGACAACAGAGCTGATTACCGGGCATCTTAAAACTCTACTAGCATCCTGTTTTGGAAGAATTATCTAAACATTCATCAAACCAATTCACATTTGGCCAACAGCTCACAGTCCTGTTGTCCTTTTACACTGTCTCTGAGAAAGACAAATATGTCAGCAGCTGTTACACCTCCTGTGACCGATCTTTTCATGGGTCCTAGTTTTATATATTTGATTTGAAGAGTGTTGCAACTGTGTTTCTATATTAAGGAAAGGGATTCTTCTTAAATAGAAGTAGACAATCGACGTATGAAAAAAACAACATCCTCTTTTCTTTAGATGCCACAAGCAAAAAAAAAAATGTCTACAGGTTACCGTCATCCACAGGAGTGTCAAAAAAAATCTCTAGTATTTGACTGTTGATAAAAGCTGATTCAAGGCAACCAACCTCCATGAACTTAATGTATTTGTATGCAAGTTCTGCAGTTGTGATGAAGCAACTCACCAGCAGAGCTGATTTGTGGCAGAGGCTCGGGGACGTTGTAAGGGCAGGAGGGCAGCAACACCTGGGTCAACACAGCGGGACAGATCCTCCCCAGATGTCCTACAGTCAGCTGACTAACATTACTGAACCCAAAGTAGGACAAGATCTGCTCTGCTGAAGGACACTGAGGATTAGAAAGATGCTATTAAACATCTCACTGCTTTTAAATTTCAGTTTTGTCCATTAAACCCTTCCTGCTGCTTTGGTTTTCACTACAGCCATCTCTCATATATGCCTTCCTTTACAGGTATTTTGCATCGTTTGTGAATTGCATTGGATTGTTTTGTATGAAATGTGCTACATAAATATATTATTACTATTTGTAAGGGATTAAAAGGATCCATTAATGACATTCATTATGAATCTAGCTCTAGGTCAAGCAAGGTTACACACACTAATCCAAGAAAAGCTTTTAAATATGCCCATTACTGTATCTGTATATGTTTTAATTACAGATTAAAACTGAGTCTTGAATGACCCCGTATAAGGTTATAAATAAGTCCAATCATGAAACTATACACATGTACAGATAACAAGTCAATCAGATCAAAACTAGAGGAAGTGTTTTCAAGTAGCCACTTATTTATTCTATACCAATAAAAAAAAAAAGAACAGGAAAAAGGAAAACGTTTATGACCAACTTTAATCTTTGTGCCTTAAAAAGTGGTACTGCATGTTACACACAATAAGAAATCACTTATATGCCTTTTCATTTTAAAGTTTAAATAAGAATAAAAACAGTTCACCTCTTGTTTTGCCAGCGGATTTGTTTCAGCGGTTGGCTCAGCTCTTCTGGCTGAAACTAACAGCAGTAAATCTTCCAGATTCTCCCTTGATATGGATTCATTTTCACCATAATAGCGAAAAATATTCTCCAAAAATTCTTGTCCATCTCGCCCAGTCACATGTAAACTCTGGGATGATGACATAAACGCCAAAACACACGAAATCAACCATGTCAGGTTAAACATCTCTACTTCTAAGTGCTAGTTTCCTCCAGTGAATAAATCTACTACTTGTGCTCTTCTCAATGCATTTTTCTCAAAAAATCACAGTATCCGTGGAGTGTGCGCGCAACCGGAGTCACATCTATGGTGGAGCAGAAACCGGGTTTGTCTTCCAGCAGTTTCCCCGAAGTGTGGGGTTGTGGGAGCAGCTGTCCCTGCTGATGTGCACCGGGAGGGCGCAGGAGTGTGTGCGACGGGTCGGGCTCAAAGATCAGCAATTGGGGGTGGGGGCTGAGGTGACCAACCAACTGCGTGCGCGCACCGTGTCAAAGCTTTCCTTTGTGACTTTGGTTCTCATTTGGTATGCGACTTCTACATACACACATACCCACGTTTGTGTGTGCAAAGTGTCACAGCATTAAGTGGAGGAAACACGCACAGTGTATAAGGTAGTGTGACCTGGTTACAGCTGTGTCTGCGTTAGTTCAATTAGGCAACAGCTGGACTTGTGTCGGATGCTTACAGGAATAACGCCAGGCTGTAACTTAAAAGGTTTTAACTTCATCAGGCTGTAACTTTAAAGGTTTTAACTTCATCAGGCTGTAACTTAAAAGGTTTTATCTTCATCAGGCTTTAACTTTAAAGGTTTTAACTTCATCAGGCTTTAACTTTAAAGGTTTTAACTTCACCAGGCTGTAACTTTAAAGGTTTTAACTTCACCAGGCTGTAACTTAAAAGGTTTTATCTTCATCAGGCTTTAACTTTAAAGGTTTTAACTTCACCAGGCTGTAACTTTAAAGGTTTTAACTTCACCAGGCTGTAACTTAAAAGGTTTTATCTTCATCAGGCTTTAACTTTAAAGGTTTTAACTTCACCAGGCTGTAACTTTAAAGGTTTTAACTTCATCAGGCTGTAACTTTAAAGGTTTTAACTTCATCAGGCTTTAACTTTGTATGTGGAGTGCCTCAGGGTTCTGTTTTGGGACCTAAATTATTAGAGTATGGCGTTGAAAACTGGGGAAACACATACAAAAGCTCACTTCAACCATTGTATATATTACAAAAAAGAGCGATAAGAATTGTGCATAAGATGGGGTATAGGGATCACACCAATGTAGCTTTCATACAGTCTAAATTGTTAAAATTTTTTGATTTAGTGGGA